TGGGGGAAAACAATTTCTGTTGATAGCAAACTAATAAATTATAATTGTTAAGAAAGTCCTACATATTTTTTTTCTAAAGATAGCCTGATGGGTAAAAGAGAAACTCCATTCCAATTTAAGAAGGGTACCAGAGAACCCTCTCCATTATCAATACTCAGACAAAAATGTCCTAACAGATACAAGATGCTATTTTTATACTTTTTCTTATTTATTTTTTTCTGAAAACATGATAGCTTAAATCTTGAGATACTGGCATAGTCATTATTTCCAGTTTTCAAATTTATTACACCCTGCTGTAATGTTATTTTGATATGCCAGAGCTGTTGTTGATAAAGAATGACTAGATTCTGGGACCAGATGAAGTATGTCCTGAATAGGGCCATACTCCTTCAGAAAGATCAGGATGTAAATGTGTTGAGGGCAACTGGATTTAAATATGGAGTCTGTAGTGAATAGCGTATTTGTGCAATTATAAAAAGTATGCCAACAGTGACCCTTTCCAAGCTGGCTACAACTAATTAGATTATTGTGTTATGACTCAAGGAGTTGTAACCTTTGGATAGTGCTTTGAAGTTGTTATTTGAATAAAAAGTAGTGGCTAGGCGACTGGCTGGTTCAAAATACACAGATTAGAGGATGTCTTTACTTAAAGAGCTGCATGGTACTAGAATACCAGCTGGTAAAATATCAGTTGTTAAAAATGTAGATGCTAAGGTTGATTCTTAAAGCCTAAAGTCCTATTATCTGTGGAACCTCCTTTCCATCTATGAACCAGTGTGAGAGACCCTCCTGAAGATACTTTTAGATAAATAACCTAATATGATCTCCTGTTGGATCCTAGGCTGTGGAATGTATTCCCTAAAAAGGCTTGTTTGGCTCCCATTCTCCCAATATTTATGAAGATTGTAGACATACATCTCTTTTGGCAATGGTTAATTATTTCCTTTACTCAGTGGTGGAATTCAAATAGTTTAACAACTGGTTCTCTGCCCTAATGATTTCTTCCAACAACCAGTTCACTAAACTGCTCAGAAAGTTAACAACCAGTTCTTCCAAAGTGGTGCAAACTGGCTGAATCCCACCACTGCCTTTACTGGTTTTAATTATTTTATTTCAATATTGTAAGTTGCCCTGAATATTAGAACAGAAAATTGAAGTTTACAGTAAATTCCAGACTATATAACTAAATAAAATAGGAATAATAATATTAACAATAGCTCATGTAGTTTTCCGTATTTCCTGAAACAAACTATTGATAATGGGTTCTACATTGTGCTACAATTTTAAACTACTCCACAATTTTTTTCACAAACTAATGGAGAAGAGAGAAGATGCTTTTCAAATGTGACCAGATTTGCTTTGCCTATGTGGCAACATTCTTTTTAGAATTTACAGCAAAGGCAAGAGAGATCAACCGAAGAGAGAGAGGAGAGAAGGGAGGAGGGAAGGGGGAGGGAGGAGAGAGAGAGAGGGAGGGAGGGAGAGAGAGATATCAACAGAAGGAGGCAAGATATAATGAAATAAATCATTTTGTCACTATTTTATGAAGATCAGTCCAAAATTCCTTGTCCAAGCAAGATTAATTTTACATGCACCCAATAAATTTGTCCACAAAGTTGGTTGTTTAAGAACAAACTTTAGTCTATATTCATTCATCCCCGGAATGTATTATTCTTCAGTAATACATTGCTTTTTTGTTTTTTGTTTGTCATAAATCACATAAATTAAAGAATTTAAAACAGAATTTAACTAGTGACTCTTGCCACAATTTGCTGCAGTTTTAGTGGTTTTTATCCTTTTCTTCAGATTTTAAGTAACTATGATGCATGTAAAAACAATGTTTCACATGCAACAACAATCACTATGAGCTGTGGCCTCATAGTATGTATAACCCCAGATAATCTGGTGTGAAATAAAATACAGAGTAGCAGCATCAGAACATGTCAGAAGGTTGGGATTTTATTGGATGGTAATTCTAAATGTATTATTATTATATCTTGGGGAAAAAGTTACACTGGGCAAAAACTCAATTCTCAACTCTTAAAGTCAACAATGCCATATTTTCTTTGTTACTGTGTATGTGGTGATCTTGATTCAACTTGGTATGAATAATTGCAGAGGTGATCTAATTTATTCTTGGGGGAATCATTCAGTTAAGAACTTTTTCCATATATTTTTAACTAGTAGATATGAGTTCAATGTCTATCATTAAAAAACACACAAATATAGCCACATTAGGATAGCAGTTTTGTAATTGTTTCAATCAATAATTCAAAACTTTTCAAGATATTCCAAATTCTCTCTTATACAGAAATATACACATGGAGAGATAAATATTTCTATGTTCTGTACATAGAACAAAACAAAATGTTCTGTTCATAGTGTTCCCTGTACACAGGGAAGTACAATGAAAGAAGTTTGAAAAGTAGTAACTTACAACATACTATGATAAGTTATTTGAACCAATAAAAGGATGTTTGTATCTCCCAGTTCCTGCAATCCTCATAAAGGGAGACAACAAAGATGAAGAATGGGAAATTATCATATTAGCATCAATAATATTGTAAGTTATTTATTATTTCAACTAACTTTTTTTTTAAAAAATGAGACTTTTGTGAAATATTATTTCAATCACTTGATGAAAGGGGATTTTTTTTTTTTTTTTGCTTTTTAAAAAATTATTTCCCCCCCCCTTTCTTTACATTATCTGTTTGATCTATTGATATCTAATTGATCTTCTTTAAGTTTTTGGTTATTCTTGCTTTGGTATTTAGATATGTTTTAGCATTTTTACTATTGATTATAGAAATAAATTATGACTGAAGATTTAATTTCATCAACTCACAGGTAAATATTGAACTTCAAATTTTACAAATAAGAAATCTAACAGCACAATTTCAAAAATATTAATTCCTCTACAAATTGTCATTAAAACGTAATACATCATATCTTCCTTGTGAAACATTGAAAATGTTCTACTTCTGAGCGCTAAGTAATAATCAAATGTTATTTATATTGTATTTAAGTTTTATTACCGAAAAACAATGCTGCTATGTAAGATTTGCACTACTGTAAAAAATAGTCAATTGAGCAAAGAACAATAAATATATGTCTATGTGGGTGCAGGCATGTGTAAGAAAAGAAGGAGAAACTGTGTGATGGATAGATTTTTAGAAAAAATCATTTTGTGTCTCAGTTTATTGCAATTTAAACTTTTTCATAAAAAATTATTGTGCCACAGATCAGCAAACCACTTTTTAGACTAATATATTAAATTAATCCAGTCAATGATTGGTTATTTCATAGTTCAGTAAATTATGTAAGAAAGAAAATTGGATTTATTGACCAACTATTATTGTTTAAACAATAAACAAAAACATTGTTTAATCAATGGATAAGTTTATTTAGTGACAACAGCCATTAAATTTCTCACAAAAGACTCAATACTTTAGATGTCAGTTTAATCAAAGATGTTAGATCTGAATTTGAATATAAGATCAATATGGAACGCATATGCATATATGACAAATATATGTGTAAAAATCCATACAATAATTTATGTTAAGTTTTTCTGTATTGCATTTGAATGCAATATAACTGTATATAATTTATGCATAGCAAAGTGAAATATAGAGGAAAATGAAATTAACACACTTACTTTTCTTTAGTTTCTCCCCATGCACACCCCTATCTTAAATTTGTTCTGTCTGGTGTCCACATCAGTTGTCATTTTAAGAACATAGATAAAGGACTTGTACACATTTTTATACACAATTTTTATATAATTTTGGATCGTAGACTTGTTTTTCCTAAAGCAGGTTGCTGTAGAAAACTTTTATTACTAATATTCATGCTTTCCTGCACATGTTACCTTATATAAAGATTTTTGTCAACCAATTTATAAGATAGATTTTATTTATTTATTTGTTTGTTTGCTTGCTTGCTTTTTGCTTATTCTGTGTTCAAGTCGTAGTTGACCTTTGGCAACTTCCTGGGTTTTGGAACAAAAATCATTCCAGTTTTTCTGGCAAGATTTCAGAAGTGGCTTGTCATTGCTTTCTTCCAAGGGCTGAAAGAGATTGACTGGACCAAGGTCACTCAGCTGACTTTGTGCTTAAGGGTCTAAAATTGACAGTGTCTTAGGTTCTAACTTGGTGTCTTAAATATTACAATTAACTGGCTTTATTTATATTTGTCAAATCAATATGAATATTTATATTTAATAAACATTCCATAGTTATTCAGCAAAATAGATCAATTGATTTCTTATCAAATGCATATAAAAATGTTCTTTTCTATAAATGCAGTAATAGGACCATTTTTTTTTCTGAAACACATCTTACATAACATAGTGGGATGTAAGAAACATCAAATTTTCTGTTCTTTAATATTTGCATTGAAAATAGAATTTCAGCTGATGCAACTTCCTTTTTTTCTTGTAGGACATCTTTAATCACAGGATAATCAAAGTAGTCACAAGGACCAGAAACAAAAAAGGGAGTGTGGCTTGTTTTTGAATGGATGGTATCTATAATAAATGAAATATGATTTTTTTCGCATTTTCTTTTTGATCCCACAATATTCAATAGTTATGATAATTAGCAAAGATTCACTTACCTAGGTGTCAACACAATTTAATCTACATGATATTTAAAATATGCAGGCTTTGAAATATTATGTATATGTATGTATAATTAATATAAAATAAAGTTCCTATAATTCTGGATGGATTAGGTTTTGTGGAAACAGAAATGTGAACAGAAATGTGACTTCTATTTATTGTTAAATGGTATAATAAGACATAATACATGGGAAAATATATACTTAAGGAAGTCTAAGGTAGATGTTTGTAAATAGTTTCCTTAGAAATTTAGTCCTTGTTTTTTTATAATATACATCTATGATTCTTTTGCTCATAATGAATATGTCTTCTTGATGTTATCTAGAAGTTTCACAACTGAAGGAGCCATTCATAGTTGATTCCATCAGCTGACAATATAATGAAGAACCAGACAACTGTGACAGAATTCATTCTACTTGGATTCTCTGCAACTAAGAGACTGGAACCTCTGATCTTCGCTTCTTTTTGCATTACATATACTATTGCTTTGCTGGGCAACCTTGTTATTATTACATTGGTATGGTGTGATCACAGCCTCCATAGCCCAATGTACATCTTTATTGCCAATTTATCTTTTTTAGAGACTCTTTACACCACCACAGTTATTCCTAAAATGCTAGTCAACTTCATGAATCAAAGAAAATCAATTTCCTCTCAAAATTGCATTTTGCAAGCTTACTTCTACTTTTCAGCAGGTTCCTCAGAGTTCTTCCTCTTAGCAGTCATGTCATTTGATCGTTACATTGCCATTTGCAATCCACTGAGGTATACCGCTATCATGAACACATCATTTTGCATCAAACTCTTAGCTGCTTCTTGGATGTGGGGTTATTTTGTCGTGATCACACCAACTACCTTGTTAGGCCAGTTGAAATTCTGTGGTCCTAACACCATCAACCATTTCTTTTGTGATGTTGATCCTCTTCTAAAGTTGGCTTGCTCTGATACAAGAACTATTGAGATTATTAATTTTGTAAATTCAGCCTTGCTCCTTTTAGGATCATTGCTGGTAACAGGGATCTCCTATATTTTTATTATTGCAACAGTAATTCACATCCCCTCAGCCAAAGGCCGCCAGAAAGCATTTTCAACATGTGCATCACACCTAATTGTAGTGATTCTTTTCTATGGAAGTTCTATTTTCATTTATGTTCAGCCACAAAACAGCCACTCATTAGACCTCAACAAAGTGGCCAGCATTCTGAATACAGTAATAACCCCCCTATTGAATCCTTTCATTTATAGCTTGAGAAACAAGCAAGTTAAGGAAGCCTTGACACACTTTACCAGCAAGAAAATATCCCCACTGCTTAACATCAAAGTTCTAAAAAGGGGGAATGCGTCTTTACATTGCATGAGAGTAGAAACCAAATGAAAGGATATGCCCAAAGAGAGTTGGTTTCAATGTCCTCATGCATTTAAGGTTACAATTCTGTAAAGGTTATCTAGAAGCTGACTCCATTTAATTCAGAAGTGCCTATTCCTGTGCAACTATTCACTGTCCAGGAGCAAGTTAACTTTCATATTTACCTCCATCAATGATGATTGGAGGGAATTACATGACACTGAAAATCCTTTCCACTCTACCAATAGCATCCTACAAGTTGTGATGACTCAAAGTTCTGACATCGAAGGGGGTGGGGTCCAAAAAAGGAATGGCAAGGGAAGGATGTTCAATATTCCCAACTCAATTAATCTTTGTGTATGGGAAGAAAGTAACATCATTCTTGGAGTAGATATAAAAAACTTTAAAAATTATGAATAGGAAAAAAAATACTTTTTTTCTGTTAATCCTCAATCAAATGGTACGATTATTTCATATGAGTTAGTCTTCATTAAGCCCATTATTTTCAATGACTATACCATATAATTACATATTTATCCATTTTTATGTGATCCAAAAATTATATTTCAAGTAAATTATACAAATTTAGGCCATTTACAAGTGTACACATAGTATTTGATTTATACATTTACATATTTATACCCAGATTTTTGGAGAAACTAAATTTTTCATCAAAATGACAAAATGTCTATTGCAGTATCAGAAATTATAAAATTCTTATCTTTCTATGTGACACAAATACAAATATGGTAACATTTATAGCAACATTGCAGTACATAGTTCATATTTAACAATATGATAAAATAGCTGAAGACTTCATCCATTTCCTACTGTCAGACCATTTTCATACCCTGAGAACACTGGAAGACCATTTTTTTGCAAAAAATAAAATAAAATAAAATACAACGAGCCTATCGTACATAATTGTTTATTGATGTATAATATTCTTCTTCAGGTGACCTTTGTAAAATTTATTTTAAAAAGAAATCTGGATGACCTGCTATTGCATACAAATTGAATTGAAATATATATATATATATATATATATATATATATATATATATATATATATATATTGAAGTACAGAATTATGGTTCTATGAATTTCATGATGACCAAAGAAACATAATTGTTTGTTAGGAATGGAAAAAAGACAAAGAAAGATATTTTAAAGTCAAGGGTGATCTCTTCACACTACAGATAAATGAATTATTTTCCATACTTGTAATGGATAACATTTTAGGACCAATTTTGACAAATTCTGCCCACCTGTTGAGTTAATTGATTCATTTTCTAGACTTGTTAATAATATAAAGTAACATTATTCTGTTAGTTGTTGAGATATTTTGATTGAGTATTGGCAACATGATCAATAGTTAGCAGGATTGCGAGGTCCCAAAGGTGCCTTTTCAGGAGGCAACTGGACTTTCTTGTTTTTTCCTTTTGAAGACATTTCGCTTCTCATCCAAGAAGCTTTTTCAGCTCTGATAGGATAGTGGGGAATGGAAGGATTTATATTCCTTGCAGACAGCTGGTAATCAACATCCTTTTAGAGGGTTATTGAAGTACTTGGAGATTTATCTGTGTCCTCAGGGTCACCTGAGTAGTGCTGGTTCCTGTAGTTCCTGCAATTTTTTCTCTGGAAATTTATTCCTACTCCCACACCATTCAAAGGGTGATCATCACAGATTGTAGAGTTAAAAGTCTGTAGATATTCTCAGTCATCCAAGTCATGGTGGTCCCAAAGGTGCTTTTTCAGGAGGCAACTGGACTTTCTTTCTTATTTGTGGAAAACAGTCAGATCTTCTCAAGAACTACCCAGGGGTGAAATTCAGCCGGTTCTATCTGGCTAGGGCGAACTGATAGCGGCAGCTGCGGAAGGTTCCACCCATCTGCGTGGACATCATGACATTGCTTTTTTGAGACAATTTTAAGTTCTGCGCATGCGTAGAAACTTTGCACATGCGCGTACAATGTATTAAAAGTATTAATGGCTAATGCTGCAAATAAACTTTTTGTACATAATGTGGGTGAGTAGTTTATTAAAGGAAGAAAGATTTTATTTTGTTTTTTTCCTTAACACATCCAGACGATTTTTTTGAAAAGAACAGAGATGGGAAAATACACTTGTATGATACTTGGACAAGCATTGAAAATTTAACTGTATACTAATATATAGGTTTTATAGAGAAAGAAAATATTTTCATATTATGGGATCAAAATTAAAGTGTTTCAAATTCTAATTATTCTAAAATCTAATTATTTGGGTTTTTTTTATTTGAACAAAACTTAGTAATATAGAATTACATTTAAGGATTTAAGATTTTACTTTTAATTATTTACATTTACAATTGAAAATTGTGTGATAACTATATTAATAGTTAACTTCATTTTCTCTATTTTTGCCATACCAGTTTGAAAATAATGGCCTGTTATAGAATGCAAATATATTTGTCAAATCAAAAAAGTACATCAGAAGTATATTTGACAAAAAAGACCACAGCCTACATCTTGGTAAGATAGAAAAAATGTGGAGTAGTCAGCATCACCACCGAAGGGATTTGTAATTGGCTGACCAGCCACATTCAGTTTGTGGAGAGAAGCATGCAGTAGGGTGGCACAAAGTTTTGTCTTAGGCCCAGAACTCTTCAATGATCTTTATAAAGATATAAAAGGGGAATTCATCAAATTTGCAGATGACACATGCTGGTGGTTATAGCCAACATTTTAGAAGATAGGTTCAAGATCCAAAAGAATTTTGACAGTTTTGAACACTTGGCCCTATTCAATAAAATGAAATTCAGTTGTGAGAAAAGTAAAGTCTTACAGTTGGTGGGGGGGGGTGGAGAACTAAATTCACAGATATAGAATAGATGGTACGTGGGTCAACAGCAATAACTGTGAAAAGGATCTAGGAGTTCTAGTGGTCAATCACAGAAGTATGAGCCAGCAGTGTTCTGCAGCTGCCAAAAAGGCCAATACATTCCTAAACTGCATAAAAGAGGATAGGGGCAAGATGATACTACACTTTAACTGCACTTATAAGAACATAATACAAAAAAGAAGAAAAAAAGTTGTGACCCTGGAAAGTGCATAGCAACAAATATGATAAGGGGCCTGGATCTTTGAATCAGTAAAATCAATGTATTTTAATTGTATTTTATTTGTTTGATAACAGAATAAAACAATGATAAAATAATCTATTTTGAAAAAAAATGGGGTTACGGTTATCTTTAGACATATGTTTTTGATTAAACGCTAGATTCTACCTTACAGAAATTCCAGATAGGCTCAATCGCATTATATTAAATAACAAGTATTAATTATTCTTTTATTATAAAAAATATAATATTTGATTTTATTCAAATAAAAATAATTTCATAAACAGTGTAATCTCATAAAAATAATTCAGGTTGAATTAAAGATTGTAAGGATGATTGAACTACTCCATTTTTGAATTCCTGTCAAATTTATTAACTATTAAATTTAAATTTATTATTAAATTTATTAGCTATTAGTCTTTATATTTAGGTTTAAGAGTTACAAAACTGATTATAAATTGGGAGGAAAAAAGAACTAAAACAAAGGAATTAAGAATTAAAACATTAGGAAAACATTATTTTCCTAATATTTTTTTTTCCTTTCAGAATTTTTGATTAAGAAAGAAAATGATCAATCAAACAGCTATAACAGAATTCTTACTTCATGGATTTTCTGATGTCCGAGAATGACAAATTTTACATTTCATAGTGTTCCTTCTCATTTACCTTGTAACCATAACAGGGAACATTCTCCTCATTGTAACTGTTGCCCAGCACCCAAAGTTTCATAGCCCTATATATTTCTTTCTGGTCAATTTATCCTTTCTGGATTTCAGTTATATTTCTACCATTGTTCCCAAATCCATTTTTTATTCTTTCTTAAACAAGAGACAGATTTCTTTTTCTGAATGTATCACCCTAGCTTTCTGGATTCTCACATTTACAGGTACTGAACTGTTTAGTCTCACAGTCATGGCATATGACTGCTATGTAGCAATTTGCTACCCATTGCAATACAGGCTCATCATGAACTGGAATGCCTGTTTTCAGATAGCAGCTACTTCTTGGATTTGCAGTACAATCAATGGCATAGTACATACTGCAAATACATGGGGCCTACATTTTTGTTCCTCAAATATGCTTGAAATTTTTTTCTGCAATATTCCAGAGTTATTGGTGTCGCCCTGCACTGATACAACAGCAAACCAATGGCTCCTTTTGGTTGTTGTCTTTGTGGGTTCATTTTGCTTTTGCTTTTTATTTCCTACACTTACATTTTTTCTGCAGTGTTCAAGATTCAGCCTACTCAGGCCAGGTACAAGGTCTTTCCCACTTGCATTCCATACTTTACTGTTTTTTCATTCTTTGTTAGCACTACTTCATTCTCTTACTTGAGACCAAAAGCCTGGTCCTCTTTTCCTATGGATATGATAGTTGCCATTTTATATACAGTTTTTCCACCCTGAGAAACAAAGATATAAAAAAAATGCCTGATAAAAATATTAAAATGGTAAAGTTTGGATAATCATCTCAAAAGCTTTTCTAGAGACGTTTATGAAATTGGTAGAGAAAACAACTGAAATGATTGATGGAAATAATACAAACATAATGTTTTCCACATAAATGTAGGGTTTCCAAAGCAAAGCAAAGCAAAGCAAAGCAAAGCAAAGCAAAGCAAAGCAAAGCAAAGCAAAGCAAAGCAAAGCAAAGCAAAGCAAAGCTTTGATTTTTATTTTTAAAACTAACTGTATATGGAAAACCAATAGTTAGATGATAGACATTTAATTTTGTTCTTCTTAGAACAATTTACAGAATAATAAAAACTCAATAAATTGCAGTGTTTTCCCTTTCTGTAAGATACACACTTGAAGTGTATAAATAAATTAACTGTCATGACCTAGTCTTGTATTACTTAAAGGTGAAAATTCACAAGATAATAGTCAGCTTCTATATGTCAGGCACCTGAAATGAATCAAGGCATCCAAATTCTGCATTTTAACATATAGGACAGGTTAAATCTATATGTCATTACAGGAAGGATGTCTATGGAGATTTTCAGTTATCCAAGTTATGGTTGTTGCACATTGCTGTAGCTTTTTGAAGAAATTTTGAAGCATCTTTAAGAGCTGTATCAGCCACAGAGAGCACACTACATCCAAAAAAGACGTTCCCAATACACTTACAGTGCCGCCAGTACTATCAGTTGTGAAGCAGTCCAAACTGATTTGCAGCTATTTTTTCTTCTTCTTCCATGTCTCTGTACTGGGAGAAATGTGCATTCAAATTCCTGTGTTTGGCTTTCACCCTCACCCCTATCCAAAACTGGAAAAGAAAGACTGACTTTTTACCTTGTGTTCTGTCTCTCAATTTCATATTTCTAAATGGAAGTTTATTGATGGATGTGTCTTCAAAACATTGTTGGCTTCTAGTGTCTGTTTGGAAAATTCTTGAAGGAGGTTTTTTTTTTTTTTTTGTCAATTTTTGGAACCTGATCTCCTCTCCCACCAAACCTACCAAGTGTGAATATGCCACCAAATCTAGTACTGCTGTCAATCTTGAAAATGCTGTGCACTTTCTCTAAATTTTGCTATCCATATACTCTAGAAACGCCTGCCTACAATTAGAGAAGCTGGATTATGATGTTCTTTTTTTTTTTTTGCCTTCCAGCCATGAAATAACCTGCATTAATAAATATCAATATCAAAAAGGAAATGTAATTTTAAGATGCATCAATAAAAGTTTTATTTATTTGTTAAATTTATTTGCTACCGATTTGCCTGTGGGGACACTGTAGGCATCTTACAACAATAAAACAGGAAAAATTATTAAAAATGTAAAAATAACAATAGCAAATGAATAAA